CCAGGAAGCATGTCATGAAACTCTATTTGACTCGATGACAGTGCTATGATTAACAGATCACACTGTTCATCCTCAACATACGCTCGAGTTATAATATCGAATATATCGTTTTCGATATATATGATATGAGCCAGCATAAAATCAGGACGACGTGACAATGCGTCTGCCGGTACTTTCGGTTTCCCTGGCTTGTTCGAAACCGTGTAGTTGTATATTGCGGAGAATAACAACCAGCGAGTCATTTGCTGTGCTAAGTGAGACGACTGAACTGCACAACACAAGCTTGAGTGATCCATGTAGACGATAATTGGAGTTGAACACAGGAGGTGAAAATGAAATTTTAACAAAGCATATTTCATTGCCAGAAAGTCTTCGTAGAGGAAACAGTTGTTTCTCTCTGCTGGCTTCAGCTGTCTCAATTGCTATAACACGACACGACCGTGTCTTCTTTAGTCGTTCTGCAATAATGCACAACCGATTGCAAATTTGAAGCGTCACACACCACGCTTAACGGCTTTGTATCATCTGGTAAAGCAAGTTATTGTGCTTTAACCAAGCTATTCTTGATTTGAGTGGTGCTTCTTCACAGATGAATGACCACTCCCACGGTACGTCCTTCTTTAGCAAATTCGATAGTTGTCGTACCATTTCCGCGTAGTTACGCGAGAGCGATTCAGGTGATTGGACAAACCAATCCATTTCCTCAAATCCATCTGGTTCCTTGCGTCGGCCTTTTCAAGGTCTGCACGAAATCCATGTTAACCAACATAACAACAAAGAGCCGGTACTTCATTAGCATCAAAAATACACTTTGCAAAAATCTCTTGCAAAAACCGTTCACTAATACATTCTAGCACCGCACGAAGGTGCTCCAAGTGCACTTCTGCGGCAGATCTGCTATCTTTGTCCTTAAATGAACGAAAATATTGTCAAAGTATAATTGTGCAAAGCGTCGCAGTTGTCGGAACAGATGTGAGACAAATCAATTGAATGTTGTTAGGACATTGCATAGACCTTGTGGCATCACAAACGTTGTGCTATCAGCTGTCAAAGGGACTTTCTTCTCCCTCATCAAAATTGAGTAATATTTATTGACCAAATCAAGTACACTAAACTGTATACAGCCGGACATCCGGTGGATGGTGACATCTTTACGCGAAATTGGCATTTCCGCGTAAATCGTCTGTGCATTCAAATTGTTATAGGAGTGAACGATATGCTATTAACCGTTTGGTTAACGCACACAAAAAGCAGGCGTGCTGTGAGGGACTTGCACTCCCTTACTAAACCAGCAGATTGCTTTTAAGCAGAGAACTTATCGACATACTCGCTTTTTGCTCCGGCGAAAGTGGCCACTGTCGAAGCACTGCATGCTTTAGAACAAATTCACGATCAATTTCGTGTCGAGTTTCACGTTCGGGTAGAAGACCAAAGGGCAGATTCGCACAAAGAACGTCATCCTTGAATTTAATAACAAGTGATAAATAAGGATTTGTTATATCCTTCAGAATAGCAGATTCTAATACAAAACAGCACAGGCTCGTAGGACAACATGTGTGTTTTACGTTTCGGCGTTATGGCATGATGGTCTAAAGGTGTGATTCACACTTAGGGTGCCAGATGTCCCGGATTCGACCTACGACAAGGCCCATACCTTACTTTTGGCATTTATGACCTTTAGCTTTTTGTGAGGCTACTGACCTCATCATTTAAACTTAGAAGCGTAATTTTCTGTTGCAATCATCCTCCGTGTGATTCCACACGTGGTCAAAAATCTTCGAGAGCCGTATCATCCATGACTGATGATGATCCTAGTTCCGCTGAATAGATCTTCGACTCTAGCATCAGGACCTTTGCTATGTCATCACACTTGAGGTAGTGCATAAAGTCGTTATGCGTGACTTTCTCAGGCTGCACCAACTCTTCCAATGTCGGCAACGGTGCCAAATGAACATCTGTTCTGATAATTCTATAACCAGTCGTTGCATCCACAAAACGGACCAGCATATTTGCATGCTACATTGGGAGTAGTACGCTGGACTAATTCACCCGCGGACTCGACCGCATCCAAAGCGGGAGTATCAGTTCCATGATCGCCGATTTCCGCTGATTTCTTCACATTTGTGTGCTTAACCACACAATAGGTGAAGCATCATTTTTTTGCCAATTGAACCCACTGACTTACAATCTGACTCAACCTCTATATTAGTGAGAGTACCAGCATTTCAAGCCAACGTCGATGTCAACGACTTTCCATTACACACATACCATCAACATTCTTCTTTCTTGAGGGGGGCAACAGCCGGTATCTCTCCCTTATATATTCTTTCCGTTGGGCAAATCATCATGCCCACCAATTCATTTATTTTTAAAGAGAAGAGAAGTGAAGAAGAGAAAAAAGTGGCAGTTCTGAGCGCCACTTGATACATCAACACATTTTCTTAGTGACCACCCGCGGCCACACCATACGACTTCGTGTTTTCCCTAACCCGAGGGATGTTAGTTGCATGACTCATATTAATGGAGTGTCGACCACTTCCAGCAGCATACGACTGCCGGACGCATGAGCGCTTCTTGTGGTGCATTTTGAATACATCCAAGCTTCCGAGAGTTTCAAAACTCTCGATCATTTACGATCGCCAATTGATCCATGGCTCATGCTTCTCGAGCGACGGTAAACTTATAATCAGGTCATACCATTTGTCCATCTTAAGGTTAGTAATAAGTACTTCATTCGAGTTGAAGTCTACAGACTTCAGTTAAAGATCTACCGTAATTTTTTTCGCTGTTACCACCGCATTAGTGGCAAACTTCACTAGAGATAAAGCCATTGCTACCATTTATTGCATCCAAAAGCACTGAACCATTTTCAGCAACACTTCGGTTCCGCGCGTCGTACGTGACACAATCAAGACTTTAAACAGACGACCGTAACACTTCACCCGCGCTGTGACCACGCGGAGACCGCTTTGACTCGGGTCGTTAAGGAAAGACAGCGATTCTTCAAGGGCTATATCCTCATGATTGATTCTACCACCAAACTTACAAGAACTTATACTGGGCCTGTAAACAGCCTGCATCTACTGGATTCCGGCGTTTCCCGAACGCCTCGTGGTACTTGAACCACTTGACTTTGATCCATAACGAAGAGCACTGTTTTGAGAGGTCCGTCGCTCAGGTGGACAATCACGGCTGGATTGGGACTGATTTGTTGACATCCATAACTGCGAATTTAGAGCGGAAGAGCGTCATAACCTTTGTTAAGGTTTTAAGTACTCTTGGAGGTGGGGATTACGATCCGCTACACTCGTACCGATTTTTGTAAAGAATGTAAGATCGGTGATATTAGATTAGCTTCCTCTTAGCAAAGAGCTATGGCAGCCCCAGTGCAAATGTTCCTCCCTATGATCCAAAGATGATGGCGTCCACTTTATCCACATATAAAGTCATCGAAATGATCGGCGCCGGAATGACTACTAGTGCTACCAAGTGTAACGGGAACTGACCGTCCCTGTATGCACCCTTACTGTGGAAGGCTTAGGTCAACTGACACGCCTCACCGCGTGTTGCTAACTTCCAGCGAGCCGTTGACTTATGTAAAATGGAGAAAAGGTGAAATGACATTTTTATCATAGCCAAGAGGCTTTAAACAACCCTCACCTGATAAGTGCATCAGAACTGAAGGGGATATACAACTATACAGGTTGTATAGATGTGTGGTACTCACAACACGTGTAATGAGACCTACATACTTCTTTTGCGGCCATCACCAGCATATAGCCGCTATTGCGTCACGTAAGCTCTATTCACAAAAGTGGTTGCAATGTCGCACTAAATCATCGAGAACTGACGAGAAACTCTTGCTCGGAACGCAGCCGACTCAGACTTCACATCGCTGAAGATTAGCATTTCGTTTTCATACAGATGAACAGCAACAATGCTATGCAATGCTATCAGTTGTGTCATTTACCACGTCCCAATGGTCTGAACGATACCTGACTAGCATAAAAATGATCACAATTATGTACCAGTCGGGGATGCCTCTTCAGGCCATACAGGACCTTCCTCAACCTCCATACCTTGCTTTCAACTTCGCTGTTGGGGGAAGTGCGAAAATGACAGTCAGTACACAATAACGGATTTTTACGAGTAGAAGACCTTCTACTATTACAAGCCCCCATCGAATTTTCGACAATGTTCTAGAAATACAAGACCGCTTTGATTAAAAGACCAGTTCAAAAAAAAGGCCGCTGTAAACACCTTAGCATTGGACCGTTATTTTGAAATCGACCAATCATCAAGCAATTGAGCTCGGAAAAAAAGCAGGAGGCGATCAAGTGAATCGGCGAGCAAGGTGGTGGCGTGCCGAGTCGCGCGGTGCCTCACGTTTCGCAAGAAAGGGTGGAGTGTTGATGCTGCCACATTTCGAAAGTGGTGGCGCAACA